CACAGGGTGCTGAGGGGCCCCGAAGTATTGGCTCAGCTGCGTTGCAACGGGGGACCGGACAAGTCTGCCCCATAGTATTGTAGCTGACCTGGACTCTGGAGCCAGCCTGCTGGGTTTCTGACCCATCTCTGCTTGTTATGCTTGTTTTCTGCCTCATTTCCTTCCAGAAATGGGGGTAAACAGAAGTACTTTCCCCGGTGCTTTGTTGGAAAAATTAAAAAAGGTAAAGCATGTGAGATATGTAGACTAGTGCCTCATATACTGTTGGCAGTTTGTAAGTGTCAACTAACATCATCATCTCTACTGTAGTCACCATCATTTTAATGGTAGTGTGTTCTGGTGGTGGTGGTATGTGTGTAAAGATCAGTGGTCAGCAGTGTTCACATTTGGTTTATCTCTTACGTGTCACATAATATTTGTTTTCTCCATCTCAAATGTAACCGAAATCCAGATGAGTGACAATACTGTCTCTCATCATAAACCAGGAATCAAGAGTCGAGTCAGCTTCACTCACATGGACTGGATGAGCTTCCTCAGTGCCATCTTGGGGCTCTGTGTAGGCCTCATGACTTCATTTATCGCATGGTGCTAGTCAGAGCGCCTGATACATGATAGGACCCCAGGAAGTGTTGGAGGTAGTTGTATGAAATAGCTGCAGCTTTGTCACCGAGTGCCTATGTGTAGAACGTACCCTTCTATTGTATTTCTTTTCTTAAAGGGTCTCACTGTGCTGCCCAGCCTCTCCTCAAATTTTCAGTCCTCCTGTTTCAGCCTCCTGAATATTAGGATTCCAGGCATGAGTCACTGCATCCAGCTATGCGTCCTTCCTCCTGATTGCCTGACAGTGTGTGTCAGTGAGGGTGGTCCTCTCAGTCTTGTTTATATCCCGTTCATCTTTTGTGGCTAAAACACAGAAAAGCCAGCTACTAAAGAAACGATTAAACTTTCAAGTGCTATTTTTCAAGAGCTCTACAAATCCCTCCATGTGGCTGAGCACAAATAACCCTGATGGGGACTGTCCTTAGGAGACCATCCCAGAGCTGGAGATTTAGCTCAGTGGTGCTGCACCTGCCTTGTGAGCACAGGGTCCTGAGTTCGATCCCCAGTACTGGAAGGAAAAAAGGAGACCATCCCCAGTGTGAAATGTATCAGCCCAAAGCAAAAGCAAATTGCCTGCAGAGATTTTCTTCAGGGGACTCTGCCGACACGTATACCATGTCTTTTAAAAGGCAAGATGAAAAAATGATTCTTTTGCTAATGCTAATTTATTTTTATGTCTAGAAAGGTAGCAACAGAGACAAGATTATATTTTCCTTATTTTGGCACAACTATTCTTTGAATGTGTTTATAATGGGTCTGACACTGAAATCTCCTCAAGGTTGACAGAATGCTATTTCTTCTCAAGGTTTAAGTGCTCAGTTGAAAAAAAAAAAAAAGGCCTGTTTTCCTTGTAGACTCAATTCCATGAGCCTTGTTTCATGATGCCATTAGGAACTGTCCGTGCTGTGGAAATAGTTATTGTTTTTTTAAGTTTTCCAGTATTCTGCTGCATGGAGTTTGGTGGGAGCTAACTCTGCACCAGAATGGTATTATCTGTAAACCCTGAGTTTTCTTCCAAAATATCAAGACTGTACAATTTAAAGGCCTCAAGTGAGTCCCAAGGCAGGGTGTGATTAAAGGGACTGTACCTGATGGTCCTTCAAAGCAGATTAGCAGGAAAAAAATTCACAAACACTAATTATCCTTTCCTTCACCCTGGCAACTAACTGTGAGACCAGCAACTGGCAGTAAAAATCAAAGATGCCACATCCCCAGTCCCCCAAAATGTGTTGTGAATCCCCTCAGATTTGACTCCACTCTAAAAGTGAACTAGATCAATATACTTTACCTCAAGCTTTTGTCATGTAACCTTTGCTGCTTGCCAGCCTTTAACATGTTCTAGGGGCCGCTCTCCGACCATGAATTAACCTCCCTTTTCCCACCTTTCACTTTCCAGAGGGCCATACTCTAGGGGAGGGGAAGATACCTTCTGTGGACTATGTACAGATCTTCTCAGATTCATTCTTGCCTGTGGTAATTTCCATGGGAGGAAGAAATACCAGTGACCTGTCTCAGCCAACTCAAGTTGACAAGTTCCTCTCCATCCATCAGACCCTCAGCCGATACGTCACCTGTTGTGAAACACCACCCAGTTCTTTCAGGAAAAATTCATACCAAATGTGTGGCCATTACAGAATCTACATTGAATTCCCTTACAGGTTTTTCCTCCCCCTAGATGTAAGCTCAGAGCAGTTTATATCCTCTGTCTAGGATCCCTCTGCTGAAACACTGTACCATGTTTGTGGTGATAAATGTTTTCTAAGTGATGGTGGCCCACCCATTGAGTTGTCCTCACATTTTCATGGCCTTCTGCATAAAGTCCCCTTATGGGTTTAAGAATGAGAACAATCAAGGGCTAGGGATTTAGCTCAGTGGTTCCACCTCCTTCCTCACAAGCACAAGGTCCCAAGTTTGATCCCTGGTACCAAAAAAAAAAAAAAAGAAAGAACAATCAAGTCACTGTGCAGAAGTTTTTAGAGACTTTTGGAATTCTCTTACATTGAATTATCACTGGCTACCTTCAAGGCCATAAATGTATTGCTGAATTTCAGAAATATCTGTCCTACATCTTCTCTGACATTGACCCTCAGTGTGTATAGAAAGCACCATGCAGCAGGCTGAGCCCAGCTTTAGTGAAGAAAACAATTGTTCTCAGAGGTTCCACAAGAACTGGTACTCTGAGCTGCTGAATAGGTTTCAGAGCCCCATCCTCATGCAGATGGAAAAGCAGAATCTTCTAGAACTTAATTTATCATCTCTCCATTTCTAAATATACAGACAGCTGTCTGTTCACTGTGGCCTCACATGGCAGAAAGAATCAATATATTCTCTGGCACCTCCTTTAAGGGCACTAATCCCATTCAGGAGGTCTGTGCCCTTATGACCTGACCACCTCTCAAAGACCTCATATCCAAAGAGCATCACAGTGGGGACCAAGTTTGGGAGGAACGCTAACGTTCAAAACACTTACTGCAGCATTCAGTCCACGGCATTAAGTGTAACCAAGAAGGGGAGTTAGGTATCATGAGCAAGTCCAAAAATGGGGGAGGAGGGAAAGGGAAAGTGTTGAAGCAGAGATAGGAAGATGATGGGGAAGAGTGATGTGGGGAGAAAGGAACCCCACACATAGGACAGTTTCCACATAAGCAGAAGCCTGGCATAGCACAAAAGCATCCCAAGGAGCTATGCAGAAGGCCCAGCATGTGCTTTTGGGGGAAGACTGTGTGGTGAGACAGAAGCAGCCTTCTAGCCAACCAGTGTTTAGGGGGTTATTTGAAGGAAAACAAGAGGCTCCCAAGGAACTGACATATAAAAGGAATAACTAGGCTTTGTGAGATTAGAAAACCAGACCAAATCCAAGCTTCTTTCTATGACTCAAGACAACCTCTTCTCTGCTTTTCTCTCCCTCCTTGTCTTCTTCCTTCCTTCCCTCTCTCACTTTCTCCTTCCTCCTTCTTTATATTTTACTTCCTTCTCTTCTTTGTCAGGTCTCTTACTTAGCTTGGAACTCATTCAATATGGCAGCCAACCCCCGCTACCAACCAATTTCAATCTTAGTGTTTCTCAGAGCAGTTTAATTACTGAAGAGAGTGATCTGATTGATTATTGGCCATTTTGCCACACAGAATTGGCAAATCAACTCACGTTCCTTTTGACCTATATAGAGTTCTACACCAGCAATAGTGATGGCAGATATAAGCAAATCAGCACAGCATATTACTGGCCATAGAAATTGGCTCAGATTAGGTACATAAATCAGACTTTGGGTAGGAGTCCTAAGACCAATAATTCTCCATCTTTCATGGACATCACAAGAGAAAATACTCATTTGTCCTATAGATAGTGGGGTACGATACTGTGAGATCCAGATATTAAGCAATATTTTTTGACATTAATATCATGGAGCCAGTCGAAAGGAACCAAAACCAAGATTCTGAAGAAAAACGCATTGGGGGTGACATCATTTGAGCTATAATTCCAGCTTTGCTTGAAGCTGAGTCTACCCCAAGACATTTCCACTCTGATCTATTTCTTCATGTTTTTTAGGCCAGTTTGAGTTGGATTTCTAGACAGATTTACCTTGCTCCTCAACCCACTGATTATGGAGCAGGGCTCAGGAGGATGGTTTCCTGCTCCGAGTAGGAAGTGGTTCAGTGATAAGGTGATCGAGCTGCAGAATGTTCCTGGCACCCTGACAGCTTAGAGGTTTAGCAAGCAAACAGCATGACTAGAGCATGTGGCCTGCACAGCTGAATTCATAAGTACGGGAGGTAAAAAGTAGAGGTCAGCTCTCATAATAAATTGTTCTGTCTTCTTTTCTAAAGAGTTTTAAATCACATTTTTCATCACTTCACTGATTTTTTTTCTATTTTTCTTGAAAACAGAAAGTATTCTTCTTAGAAATAGCCACGGGCTATGTTTGAAACATCTCAAATGAGCTCCTTTTGAATTATTCATGTGAGAAAATCTCAGTAGATATCCAGAAATAGGGTGTCTTTCTGTTTCCATAACTTAAAAACAACTTGGCTACATTTGGCTGAAAAGAAAAACTCTTTCACTTGAATCCAGATTTGAAAAATATCACTTCATTTTCCTTTGCATAAGTCAAATATGCTGGAGAAAACTGGGAGTGAAAATAGAACTATAGCAAAACATAGTTCTTTCCTAGTGTAGGTTTATGTATTTGTGTCTTACCTCTTAGAGATTGTAAATAATTAGAAGTCAGGGCCATCTTTAGACAAATAACAACTAGCTTGAACATTTTCCTGGTACAACTTAGTAATATCTGGGAAAAATCTCATTAGTGGAAAGTGTGATCATAACTCTGAGCCACAATACAAAATCTTACTATGTATATCAGCTCTCTATTTAGTCCTCTGTTTACTCTTCTGCTTTCCAAGGAACGAAAATTTCCGAAGTTTGTATCCAAAGAAATGGAAAACATGTACATTGAGGAACTGAAGTCCTCCGTCAACCTGCTCATGGCCAACTTGGAGAGCATGCCTGTGTCCAAAGGTGGAGAGTTCAAGCTCCAGAAACTGAAACGCAGCCACAACGCTTCCATCATCGACATGGGTGAGGAGAGTGAGAACCAGCTCTCCAAGTCAGACGTTGTGCTGTCTTTCTCCTTGGAGGTAAAAAGCCCTAAACCCTTGAAAGTTTCCTGGCACAGCAAGCAGGACTGGAGTGATTAGATGCATTGCAATCAGTCTGCCCCCTCCCCCTTACTCCCCTTAAGCAGTTCCTAAAATAACAGTTTGCTAAGCGTAGGTCAGCTAATCCACCAGTGATTCCCCCTCTCCAGGAGCCCACATTTTTCCTAAGGAAATGCAATCTTAAGAACCACCTACTAAATGAAATCTTGGATTGCTTGCCCTGTCTTAAAGCAGTGCTCAAGAATTTGCAAATACCTTATGTAATTTAGAAAGCTTCTAATTTTGGCAACCTTTGTTACAGTTAGAAGAGAGGCAGTCTAGCCTCATTTTGCATTACATCATATATTTTCTTTCCCATATCTTTCCTGTTGGATACACTGTAGAGTCCCTTGGTAGTAGCTCCTTTTTAAATTATCTCTGCACCTTCAGTAAGAACACATTTAGACGAGGATTGCAGCAGAATGTTCAAAGTGGCCATTTTTGTATAATTTCCCTTCATACATTGGCTCTTCATGTATGAATGTTAAGAAAGGATTCTGATCTATATACATCCGAATTACTTGGGAAGCTGTTTCAGTAAGAAGATTTCTGGGCACCACCCAGACCGGATGAACCAGAGTCTTCAAGTGATGAGAACAGAAGATGGTGCAACCACTTTGGAAATTAAGTTGGCACTTTCTCAAAGAATTAAACATAAAAATACCATGTGATCCAGCAATTCCACTCTTAGATATCTATTCAGTAGAAAAGAAAACACATATCCCTACAAAGCTGTGGTTGCAGATATGTATAGCAGCTTTATTCATAATACCTAAAAGCAGTAACAACCTAAATGCCCATCAGTTGGTGAGTGGATAGACAAAATGTGACAGACCTGTGGAGTGTGTTTCCACAAGTAAGAGGGACAGCGATGGATGTATGCTGTAGCATGGATGAACCTCAAAAGTACTGGCTTAGTACAAGAAGGCAGACACGAGATATGGAATATCCTGAAGGCAAACCTACAGAAACAGAGTATATCAGTGCTGCCTGGGCGAGAGACAAAAAAGTTTTACAGGGGAAGATAAAAATTCCTTTAAGAGAAAAAAGAAAGAAAAGAAATACCTAAAACCAATTCATAATCATGGGCACAGAACTTGGTAAATTTACTAAAAATCACTGAATTATAGACCTAAAGTAGTCTATGTGAGATATCTCTCAAAACAGTTGTCAGAAAACAAAAATTCTACTCAGGATGAAATCCTGGCATGGGTCGTATTACAGACTACCCAGGTACTTCTCATATACTTCAGAGACTGAGGACCAATTAAATTTACCAAAGTCCAAAACACCACAAGAATTGTTAAAGCTTTTGTAAACTGATACATACTTACAGAGTATCATATGAGGTGTCAGTACCTGCATGCAGCACAGTGTGTGGTATTCAAACCATGCTCAACCTGTTTCTTCAAAGATTTAGTAATTTTTCATGGTTAAAGCATTCAAAATTGTTTCTTTTAGCTTTTTAAAAAATATACAATGCAATCCCACAAATATTTTATGATGACCCTAGATTTGGAGAGGCCAAGAGAATAAATCAAACTTCTGTACATTTAATTAGACTGTGTAAAGACTAAATTAATTTTCTAGAACATCATTAAGGATTGTTGTGAATTAACTGCAGGTAATATATTTATCTGTGCTCAGTTCAGATGAGAATACTTACATTACACTGTTTCAGCGTGTATTTTGCAGAAAGAAGAGGCTGTATTCAATTAAATATAGAATGCTTGGTGTGTGAAAAAACATCAGTGTAATTTCACAGAAACTTTCTTTTTTTAAAAAAAAAAATACTGCCACTGAGGCACTGAATGCTTTTTCTTAGGTGTCTTTGAATTTGATTATTGCCAATTAAAGGTGGCAATTTATTCTCTACTGCCTCTTGCCTTCATACAGGAAGGAGAAAAAGGTAGTTTGTTGACTTTTATGAAGCTGTTAAATCTATAATTTTCAAATTCTTTATCAGTACTCAATATTATATAGCTGATTATTAGAAATATAGATATAGGCAAGACCTCAACCACACTCCCATGGGTGCATTATTCAGATGGTTTTCACTTATAATTACAAGTTCAAACTGAGACATCCTAGGCTTCTGAATACTTTTTAATTGGAACACTAAATTGCACATCACACTAAAACTGCCAGCAAAATCCATCGCACTTCTATTTTTGAATGTGCTCTGAGGGCACAGTGAGGAGCGTCAAGAAGTGAGAGCATTTACCATCTCATCAGGGCAGACTAGGATTGGAATTCGCGGATTGGTACAAGTCGTATTTTGTGTCATCATACAACTGCATGGCTAGAAGGGACACCAGAGAGCAAATGACCTTACAGCAAGGGAGCAGGGGTCCCGGATGCCCAGCGGCATTGCCTTGGCCATGGGAAGCATGCTGATGAGAAGCAGCCACTGTCTGTGGGGTGCTGCTGTGGGCCCAGTAACTCTGGACCCTCGCAACATTTCTCAGGTAGTTGCAGGTGTGGAAACAAAGCTTGAGAGGTTGATACACCCACAAAGGATTACACACTTAGTAAAGCTGCAGGATCAGGTTTTGAGTTCAGCTCCTTCAGTTGCCCAAAATTGTGCCTTTTCCAAGATGCCTTCCATTTCTTTCCATACATCACATTTCCATACATTTTTGTGTATGATTCTTCCAAGTATAAACTTCTAAAATTTCGTACATCATCTCTTTGCGTCCTCCCACAGTAGCCACAAGATATATATCACTACTCCCCCCACCACACACACACACACACCATAGATGAAAAAACTGAGGCTCGAAAGATCTGAAAGAAGAACAAAGTGACTTCAACACTAAGTCATTTGCCCAACATCATGAGTAGCCTCAAAATATGGCCCCTGTGCCAGCAGCATGGGCATCACTAGGGAAACTGTTGAGAATGGAAAGTCTTGGATCCACCCAAAGTACCGATCAGAAACCCTGGAGATGGAGCCCAGAAGTCCCTGGGTTAAGAAGTCCTATTAGTAATTGTGACTCATACAGAGTTTGAGAAATTGTGGCCTACTGTGCAGCAAAACTGACTTGTATGCCTCTATTTCACTTCCTTGACTCAAACCCATGAAGAAAGTATATATTTTTCACCTATGTACGTCATTATTCTTTTGATGCCGTTACAGTGTGAAGTTTAAATCTTCATTCTAGACTGATCCAGACATGACTAGTAAAGCCTTGCTAGAAGCCATTAGATACTGTTGTAATTATTTGTGACATCTCAACTGTTTATTGTCCACTAAGTGGTGCTGCCCACTGGTATTGGGAATGACCTCCATTTTGTGTGGTTTTGTTTTCAGGTGGTGATCATGGAAGTCCAAGGCCTTAAATCCTTGGCTCCAAATCGCATTGTGTATTGCACCATGGAGGTGGAAGGAGGAGAGAAACTGCAAACAGACCAGGCTGAGGCTTCCAAACCAACGTAAGTGCTTTTTGTCCACAGAACATCTGGCAGAGGGAGTTGGCATTGGTTTTGTCTTGACCACCTTCAAGACAAAAGTCTGGTTTCTCCACAAGGCACTGGAAGACATACACTGTGTGTGTTTTCAAGTTAACAAGATAACTTGACCAGGCCTTGACAGCCATAGCAAGGGTTCCAGTTCCTTCAAAGCTGGGGACAGGACATGGAAGCAATAGTCTCTTTTCCAGAGGCAGGAGACCTTGATATAAATTTATTTTTCCAAATAATGCTTGAGTAACAATAAGAGAGGGTGCTTTTCAAAATCTTTCAGCACATAATAGCAAAGCAGTGTGTTACACTGAAACAAGTACGGAACACTACTTCATTTGGTCAGTACAGTTTCAAGGACTCGCTGTGTATGTGCCAAAGTAGTGTGTGGCACAGTGAGATCAGAAATATTTGCTGCCCTGTTCTACAGAGCTTTTAACTCAATTCACATGACGGTTTAGTGATCACATCAGAAAAATACTCCCAGAAATATATAATTATGAATAGAGTCAGAGCTCCATGTCTGCAGGCTCCATAGCTCAGAACCAACCAACTATGGATTGAAAGTTTCAGGAAAAACCTTGTACCAGTGCCCAACATATATTTTTTTCTTGTCCTTATCTCCTAAATAATGCAGTATACTGACCATCTCCGTAGCACTTACATCATACTGGGTTTTGTAAGTAACCCTAAGGAGTTAACCTGTACTGCAGGACATGCATGGGCTATCTGCAGACACCACACCGTTTATATAAAGGACTCAAGCGCCTGTGATTTTAGTGTCCATGAGAGTATAGGTGAGGGGCCCCAGAACAGTTTTCCCACGGGTACCAAGAGATGACTACGAGTATAAAGGCTGAGAAAGAATGCTTTGAGAGGAGTGAACAGGAGACCTGAATCAGCTTGTACGGACAAAGTCAGAATGGGCTTTCCCTAGGACACAAGAGATGTTTGATCTAATGTTATAAAATTTGAGGAATGGAGTGTGGTAGAGAGAATAGTTTACACAAAGTCCCCGTAATCAGCTATGGCCCTAGGGGCAAGAAGGATTCAAAGGCCGGACTGACTGGAATTGGAGGTTCCCTAGGCTGCCATGGAGGCCGGCAGAGGCCAATCCAGAGGGCTGAGTCGGATCACAGAGGGGATCACACTGGAAGATACGATGTTTAGAGAAGCTCACTCTGGATGCTGTGGAAGGGTCAGAGTTGATTCAGGATCCTGGGGCAGTGGTCAGCGGGAATAATGAAAGTTGATCTACTTCAGTCAGTGTACTCTGAAAGATCATTGCTGCCTTCCCTCCATACCCACTGCCTCTTTACCTTCCTCTCCTATCTCTGTTAAACCAGCCTAGACTAATGAGCTTCTCTTTGTTGGTGTTAATGCATAAGAGAGACATCAAAAGGATAACCCCGGAGCACCTCTCCTGCCCCAGAGCATTAGGAGTGTTTGGCAGAACATGAGTAACTTACCAAGATGTTCAAACAAAATAGTTCAAAGGAAGCACTGAGTGTCTCTGGGACTAGAGGAGAGCTGAGGGCATTGTGTGCCTTCAAGTGTCTTCTTTACATCAATAGGCAAAGCCTCAGAAGCTCAGGAGCCAGGCAAAATGTGTGAGTATATGCAGGAGGAAGTGGAAACCAATGCAACTTATCACGCACCACCCCCCGTTTCAAGCTCAACTCCACACTAATTAATGCAGTTCCTTGTTTTACAGCCATGGATGAAATGCCGATTTTTCCTCAAATGGCCTGATCATTATCAATGTTTTTATATTAAGCTTCACTATTTATATGTGCTTTTCACAAATGTGTGATTGAATGGGGGAAGAAAAACTTACTTAGTGTTTCTGCCAGTCTTTTGCAAGATAGGGCCCAGGATAGTGTCATAAAATAGAGGAGGAAGGAGAAAGCTCTGGTTATCCTAACAGATTCTTCTTTCATGTGGAATATTTTAACTCAAAAGATTATCTATATCATCATTTGGGCTGTACAGGTTCTGTCGCTAGGATAAATGATGAGTTGATTTTCCTGTGTTCATGAATGTTTAAAACACAGTTTCATGTCACAGATAAATGCAGAATGATTGGTGTACCTGCTTGAGATAGTCAGGTTTCATATCCATATTTACTCATTCCCATACATGTGCAATATGATGTCCGTACATCTCACATTGAAACATTTTGCTATTCTAGCCAGGAGCATACTTTTTTTTTATTGCTTTCCCATCACTGTGTGAGTGTCCTAAAAGCAACCCTGGGGGCGGGGGTTGACCTGTTCGTTAAGAATCAAGCTTCATCAGAATCAAGTGACATCTGTTGGTAATAGCTATCTAGAATGATCTGAGGTGGAATCTGTATCCAGAAGAAAGAAGTGGCAGATTCAACTTGTAGTGTCTGGGAGGGGAAAGGGTCCAAGGGCCCTGTATCCGCCATATCCACCGAGCCAAAAATAGCAACGTGGAGTCTGAGGTCTTACAACACTCGTGTTTCCCCCTGTCTCTACCCTTCCCATGGAGATTCTCCTTATAACCCTTTACTCATCTCCCACACCCACAGCGCTTTTCCCAGTACTCCCCCGTACCCCTTACTTTGTCATCTCCAGTATTCGCAGCTTGCCTTTGCCCCCACTTGCACCTGGTAGGATAAACTATCCGGTGATGCAGGTCTGTTTTCTTCCTGCCTCCCTCATTTTGACTTACTTGGAATCTTCTCCATCATTTCTTTTGTTGGAAGCTTTTATTTCTCCTCCTTTTTGTCCTCCTCCACCTAGCTTTCTTCCATTACTAATCTGTAGCTGTCATCTGTACAACTTAATTTTGATTATCTTGGAAAGTATGCTCTTGGGGGTTATGTTGCATTTGTCCTAATAACTCCTCGTCATCATCTGACAAGGTTCACTCTTTTCCTGCCCTACTGCTCTTTTGAATCTTGTTTGTGAATATTCTTATAGCCAGCTGATGCCTGGATTTTATTTTTATGTTCTATAACCAAAATTCCATCTATTTTGTTTTGTTTTTTTATTACTTATAAATTCTACTGTTGCTGCTATTGAGTATTACTCAGTCACTGCCACCATAATATCCTGCCTGCCATAGATCTTCAAGGAATTTGGCCTAGTCACAAACCCAAGAGTACATTATACAACCCCGTTTGTCCAAGAGTGTGCTCTTTGGAACTGTAGGGTATAGAACAGTGGTGATGTCCTTTTGTGGCCTTTTCACTTTGGGGAAGAGCCAGAAGTCACACAGTGGCAGAACTGGTGAGGTCACACCATAGTATTTTTATTTGACAGAAATTGCTGCAAACATTTTGAATTTATTTAGGAGATTGAGGTAGTTGTGAACAGACACAAAATCAGACTCCCACAACTGCTTCAGAAAATAGCAGTAACTATGTGATGGGTGTGTTCAAAGCGAGAGGGAGTATTTTGAGAAGGATTAATGGCAATCTGTCTTTTGCTGTAATAGATTTATTTAAGCAGTCATTTTATTTTTAAAATCATACCTTATTCTCAAAGAAAACAACTAGAGAGTAATACCATGGTCAAGTAAGTTTAGGAAATGCAGGACATTATTTCTCTCTGACCTATTCATAGGGTATACTGCATTTTAAAACCTTTGAGACATCCAACGGTAAATAAATGTTTAACTTTGTTTAAAATTAAACAATCTCTCCTAACTCATTTTAACTGATACCTACTTACCATCCTTTGGCAAATCCTGGTTTCTGCTGTCCAAACCTAATAATGGAGAATTCTTTCACTGCATTTATCAAGAACATCCCTTGCCTTACAGCCAGGGCCTTGCCCAGCATGGTCACATTGGATTGCGTACTTGATATAAAAGTTCTGTGTTCACAGATTAGGAACATTTCATAGTTGGAAAATCCTGGGTGTGCTAGAGGAGGCGGTCTTTCACACTGTCACCTAAACTCTATCTGCACCCTTCATTCTGTCGGTTTATTTGCCATACATGGCTTATTTCCAAACAAGCTGTGTATCCTCTTGGCTTTGTGTTTTGCTTCTCCTGGGTTTTTAACATGACCAACCAAGAGAGTATATGGTCAGTTTCTATAAACTATACTTATTAAAAGTTATTGCCTCTATTTGCACCCCACTGTTTCATCTGCTTCTGGAAACCGTAGGGGTGCTGAGGTAGAGACACTGAAAGCTTGTTAGTAGGTAAGCCCTTCTCAGTGAAGTGTAGGATGGGGACAGGAAATTCTTGTAGCTTCAAGAACCTAGGTGTATTTGCCCACCTTCTTTGAGATAGGATAGTTGACTGTTCTTGCCTTGGGTAATTATTTGTCAAATGAAGCACTCCCACCTCTGCTGATAGCAGAGATGATGTTAGATATTACCAGCATGGTACTAAGTAACACCAAATCAGGTGAAAAGGAAGTTTCTCCTTTTCCACATATTTATCAGGTCTCCTGCTCAGATGAAGGAAGACATTTTAATTTGGTGTTAGAAGGTGTTTAATACTTCCTCAGACCCCAGAGGCAAAGCCTACTTTTTCCAATTTATTTTTTTATTGGTACTTGTTGGTAGTACCTAATGATTACATTCCTTCTGGGGAGTTGGTACAAGAGTACAACACATCTTAATACTTTTTTATCCTCTTTTCCTCCCCTCCTTCCCCTCTCCCTCTGTCTCTTGGTCCACTTTGCAAAAGATCTATCCATATTTCCTATTATATTTTATTTTTTCTCTTTTTTATATTCTGTGTTTCTCATGTAAAAGAAATGGTGTGATCTTTAAGTTTATGTGTTTGATTTATTTCCCTTAACATTATGGTTTCAATATGCATTCATTTTCCCACAAATGACTTAAGTTTGTCTTTATGGCAAAATAACTCCATTGTGTATAAATCCTACATGTTCTTTAGCCATTTATCTGTTGATTGATATATAGGCTGCTTCCAACACGTAGCCTTTGAGAGTTGTGCTGTAAACACGGGTCTGCATCTATCACCGT